TTGAGGCACCTTCTCCCACCTCCTCATCTCACCCCCACATACCAGGCCTTGGTATCACACAGTCTGTTATTACACACAACCTATATTAGCCATTAACAGTCACCATTAATAGCTATTCATTCTCCCAGGCTGATCGTTATCCACTCCTTTGTCTGTCCAACTGTTCTTCTCTCTCTTTGTGCTTTATCTCCACCTATTGTTTACTCCTTATCCCCTCCTCCCACCCTATCTTCTGCATAAAAAAATTTTCCCTCATTACCGTCAGTTCTGAGGAAGGGTCACTGGACCCGAAATGTTAACTCTGATTTCTCTTTACAGGTGGTGCCAGACCTGCTGAGCTTTTCATAGAACATAAAACATAGAATATAGAACATAGAACAGTACAGCACAGTACAGGCCCTTCGGCCCACGATGCTGTGCAGAATTTTTACCCTAATCCTAAGGTCTATCTAACCTCCACCCCTACCTTATACTATCATCCATATGCCTATCTAATAGCCACTTAAATGCCCCTAATGAGGCCGACTCCACTACCCTCTCCGGCAATGCATTCCACGCCCCTACCACTCTCCGAGTAATGAACCTACCTCTGACGTCTCCCCTGTATCTACCTCCACTCACTTTAAAACTATGCCCCCTCGTAATAGCTACCTCCACCCTAGGAAAAAGTCTCTGGCTGTCTACTCTATCTATACCTCTGATCATTTTGTACACCTCTATCAAGTCACCTCTCATCCTTCGACGTTCTAAAGAGAAAAGCCCTAGCTCTCTCAACCTTTCCTCGTAAGACCTTTCCTCCATTCCAGGCAACATCCTGGTAAATCTCCTCTGCACCTTTTCCAACGCTTCCACATCTTTCCTGTAATGAGGCGACCAGAACTGGACACAATACTCCAGGTGTGGCCAAACCAGGCTTTTGTATAGCTGCAGCATAACATCACGGCTCTTGAACTCAATGTCTCTATTAATGAAAGCTAACACACCATATGCCTTCTTAACAACTGTATCCACCTGGGTGGCAGCAATTTCTGTTTTTGTTTCTGATTTACAGCATCCACAGTTCTTTCGGGTTTTTTTAATTGGTGTTTGTTTACCTGGGATCGGCATGTTGAACCACGGCACCAAGCCTGTTCCATTGCTTCGAAGAATCCCTCGAGGAGCTCCTGGATGGTAAGGATTCAGAACATTTCCTTCCTGGAGGAGCCCACACAAAATCCACATGAATAAGATGGGCAGCAGGAGCTTGGGGATTAGAAACAATGTGTTAGTCACATCAGAAACAGAGTAGGAGGAGGCCATTGTTCAATAAGATCATGGCCAATTCTCTGCCTTAACACTCTCTACCCATTCCCACTGAGTACCACTGTATCCCCTCTTCTACCCATAAGTCTCCTGACATTGGGAGGTGATGGTCCAGTGGAATTATTATTAAACTATTAATCCAGCAGACCAAGGCAATGTTCGGGTTTTGAATCCCAAAGGTGGCTCAGTGGTTAGCACTGCAGCCTCACAGTGTCACGGACCCGGGTTTGATTCCACCCTTGGGTGACTGTCTGTGTGGAGTTTGCTCATTCTCCCTGTGTCTGCGGGTGTTTCCTCCGGGTGCTCCGGTTCCCTCCCACAGTCCAAAGATGTGCAGGTTAGATGGACTGGCCATGGGAAATTGTCCTGTAGAGTCCAGAAGTGTGTAGGCTAGGTGGATTCGCAATCGGAAAGATGGGATGGGTGTGAGTGGGAGGCTTTTTGGACGGTTGGTGTGGACTTGGTGGGCTGAATGGCCTGCTTCCACACTGTAGGGTTCTAGGATCATTATAGCAGATGGCGGAATTTGAATGCAATATTTAGAAATCTGGAATTAAGAGTCTAATGATGACCATGACACCATCATTATCTGGCCTGGTCAACCACACAAACTGCCCTCTACACAATGAGGGATGCATAATCAATGTTGGCCTAGCCAGGGACACCCACATCCCATGAATGAATAAAAGGAAACTAATGCCAAAGACCCACCCAATCATGGAATCATACAGTATAGAAGAGGCCCATATAGTTAGACCCATCAAGTCTGTACAACCAAGTGCACACTACTACCAGTACTAGGTCCATAGCCTTGAATGTTCTGACACTTCCAGGAGTTATGAGGTTTCCTGCCTCAACCACTCTCCCAGGCAGTGCATTCCAGTCCCGCACCAACCTCCGGGTGAAAGGATTTTCCTCAAATCCCCACTAACCCTCCTGTGAAGAGCGACCATTAGAGACGAATATTCGAATTAGGGCTAGCAGGAGGCCATTCAGCCACTTGATCCTGCGCAACCATTCAATAAGGGTTAACTGCCCTTCTGAAATGGCCGAGGAAGCAACTGGGATCAAGGGCAATTAGGGATGGGGCAACAAATACTGGCCTTTGCCAGTCATGCCAATATCCCAAAAGTAGCAAAGAGAGGAGATCAAGTGTATCTCATGAAATGGCGGAGTAGGTCTGAGGAGTTGAATCTCTGAGGTCTGGTCCCATACGGAACAGCCATTATATCTGGGAATCGTTAGAAACACCCTCTTACTTTAAAACCCAATGATCCCAAATGGGAAACCCACAATACGTACCGAAAATATCCTGAAAAGCGGGAAGTAGGTCTCGACGACAAAGCCTTTGGATCTCTTCCAACTGAAAACAGGTACATGGCAGCTCCGTAGATGTTGGGACAAGAGCACCACGAGGAGTACCAGCCTAAAGAGAGGAGGAAGGGCACAGGAGGAAAGTGTCACCATTTCTTCCAACATGAAAGGATGCAGGGACAACCAGACAGCTTAAGGAAAGTCCCCACAGCTAACTAAGTCATTCTGCCTTGAAGTTTTGTAGCATAGTGGATGTAGTCGCCTGCTTGTGCATAGCAAGATCCAATCTACAACATCATGGTAACAAGCAAGTAAACCATTTTCAGGCCTTGGTAATAGAGTAGATGTGGGGCCCAAGGAACAGGTGAGTACCACTGCTCAAGCTAGAATACTAGAATGAGGGGGCATAGCCTCAAAATAAGGGGAAACAGATTCAGGACTGAGTTGAGGAGGAACTAAAGAAGGGTCCTGACCCAAAATGTCAACATTCCTGTTCCTCTGATGCTGCCTGGCCTGCTGTGTTCCTCCAGCTCCACACTGTGTTATCTCTGACTCCAGCATTGGCAGTCCTTACTATGAGTTGAGAAGGACCATCTTCACCCAAAGGGTTGTGAATCTGTGGAATTCCCTGCCCAGTGAAGCAGTTGAGGATTCCTCCTTGAATGTTTTTAAGGCAAAGATAGATGGATTTTTGAACAGTAAAGGAATTGAGGGTTATGGTGAGTGGGTGGCTAAGTGGAGCTGAGGCCACGAAAAGATCAGACGTGATCTTATTGAATGCAGACCAGGCTCGATGGGCCAGATGGCCTACTCCTGCTCCTATTCCTTGTGTTCTTATGTGTAAGCTATTGTTCGACATGGTATTGGAGGGTTGTCCACGTCAACCCATGTGAGATTGAGTTGGAGGAGCCAGGCTTCAGGAGGTTACAAAGGGACATTGATAATAAGAAACAGAGCTGCCAACACTGAGTCGGATGGTATTCAATGTGTACGTGCGTGTGGGTGTGTAATGGGTGTATCTGTGCATCCTGTGCTGCTGAAATGGTTTACACAGACTTCAGTATAGCCTTTGACAAGGTCCCACATGGAAGGCTGGTCAAAAGGTAAGAGCCCATGGGATTCAAGGCCAAGTTGGCAAACTGGATCCAAAATTGACTTACAAATAGGAGGCAAAGGGTGATGGTGGAGGGTTATCTTTTGTGATTGGAAGCCTACGACCAGCAGTGTACCACAGGGATCGGTTCTGGGACCCTTGCTGTTTGCTGTTTTCGTTAATGACTTGGATGTGGATATAGTGAGGAGGTTGGTCTCAGGCTACAGGCTGATATTGATGAGCTGGAAAACTGGGCAAAGCAATGGCAGGTGGGATTTAATCCGGATAAGCATGAGGTGATGCATTTTGGGAGGTCTGATAAAGGAAGGATATACACAATGAATGGCAGGTTCCTAGAAAGCACTGAGGAACAAAAGGATCTTGATGTACAAGTCCATTAATTCCTGCAGGTGTCAGCACACGTTTTATAGAATCCCTACATAGGCCATTCAGCCCAACAAGAACACACAACCCCTCCAAACAGCATCCCACCCAGACCCATTCCCCATGTCTAATCCAAACATCCCTGAACACTACGGGCAATTTAGCACAGCCAATCCACCCTAACCTGCACATCTTTGGATTGTGGGAGGAAACCCACACAGACATGGGGAGAATGTGCAAACTCCACACAGACAGTCGCCCGAGAGTGGAATCGAACACGGGTCCCTGGTGCTGTGAGGCAGCAGAGCTAACCACTGAGCCACTGCGTCATCCCACCTGCTAAGTTTCTCCAGCAATTTCTGCATTTGTTTCAGATTTCCAGCATCTGCAGTATTTTGCTTAGAACTTCTGGGTTACTTTGCTGCCCTTTCTTAAAACTAGTATGCAGGGAGAGTTTGGGGATCCATTGCAATTTGCTTGTTGGCAGCTAGGGATGGAGTGCAAGCTTTCCTATTCCCTCCCTTCTCCATTCCTCGTTCTCATCTGGCTCATTGGATTGTGGAAGAAATTAGATCACAGAATCCGTACAGCGTGGAAGCAAGCCCTTCAGTCCCTCAAGTTGACACAGACCCTCCAAAGAGCATCCCAACCCAGACCCACCACATTCCTATAAGCCTGCATTTCCCATGCTTAATCTCCCTCGCCTGCACATCCCTGGACACTATGGGCAATTTACTGTGGCCAATCCACCTAATTTGCAAATCTTTCAACTGACCTTCCAAACAAATAGGTGCCTCTGACAGTGCAGATGCCCTTCAGTACCACAGTGGACAGTGAGTTGAGGAAGGTCCTGCACTGAACCTTGTTTCTAAACAGCCTCTTGCTCAGGGGCACTGCACACAGCACTGGGTCTGTCAAAGCAGAAACTGTTCTCACTGGCCAGAGATTCAGTTACTAAAGCGCAGAGATGAAATCTACTTGGCAAAAGAACCAGAGGAAAGATGACGTTTTTTTTTAAAATGCATTGAGTTGCCATGATCTAGAACACTGTGCAAGAATTGCAATAGGAACAGATTCAATAGGAACATTCAAAAGGAAATCATTTCTATTCATGAAAGAAAATCATAGAATCATAGAATCCCTACAGTGTGGAAACAGGCCCTTTGGCCCAACAAGTCCACATCGACCCTTGGAGCATCCCACCCAGACCCATCCCCCTATAACCCTCCTAATCTACACATCCCTGAACACTACAGGCAATTTAGCATGGCCAATCCACCTAACCTGCACATCTTTGGACTGTGGGAGGAAACTGGAGCACCTGGAGGAAACCCACGCAGACACGGGGAGAATGTGCAAACTCCACACAGACAGTTGCCCAAGGGTGGTTTCGAACCCGGGTCCCTGGTGCTGTGAGGCAACAGTGCTGACCATTGTAAGGGTCGTGGAGAAAGGTGAGTGGGACTAATTGTGTAACTCATTGAATGAGGTGACAGCTTTACAACGGGCTGAATGGCTTTTCACTTGGATCAAACTCTCGGAGTACCCCAGGCGTTTACCAATGAACAAAAATGAGGCAAATGCCCCATCTAGTGGAAATCAAAGGAACTGTTGGCTGGGGATTTGGTGCCAGGTGAACTGTTTTCTAGCACATAGCAGCCACATTCTCCTTATAGTGAGGTGATTGTTGGAGACAGTTTAATGCGAGTGTCACCGCATCCCGGGTGAGAAGTATGTCCAGTACCGTGTCCACTACTGGTCTCCCTGTTATAAGAAGGATATTATTAAGCTGGAGAGGGTTCAGAAAAGATTTACCAGGATGTTAACAAAGACAGAAGTTGCTGGAAAAGCTCAGCAGGTCTGGCAGCATCTGTGAATTAAAATTCAGAGTTAACATTTCAGGTCTGGTGCCCCTTCCTCTGAACATGAGGCACAGAGACAGCTCTGGGAGAGTGTTAATGTTCCCACAGTGCCATCTTCCTGCTCTTTGCTTTGCTCCCAGCCCCCAAATTCCCAACCTTCCCCCTCCTCGGCTAGCCAGTCTAGTATATGCTTCAAAATCTTTTTTTTCCCCTTTATTCATCAACAGGATGAGGGAGTCACTGACTAGACAGATTTATTGCCCATCCCTAATTGCCAAGAGGGCAGCTGAGAGTCAACCACATTGCTGTGGGTCTGGAGTCACATGGAGGCCAGACCAGGTAAGGATAGCAGATTCCCCTCCCTAAAGGGCATTAGTGAACCAGATGGGTTTTTCCTGACAATGGACATCATTAGACTCTTAATTCCAGATATTTTTTATTGAATTGAAATTCCACAATCTGGCAAGGCAGGATTTGAACCCAGATCCCCAGAATGTTATCTGGGTCTCTGGATTAACAGTCTAGCAATTATACCACTAGGCCATCACCCCCCCCATATACCTAAACATGACAATTTGTTATATTATTCCATGTGGCAGTGACAGTTGTTGTTCTCACCACACTCAGGGTAAGGAAATTCTCTTGAAATTCTCCATTGAACCTGCACATGAGTTACATTCACTTAACGAAAACAAAATGACAGAACTGCGGATCCTGGAAATCAGGAACAAAAACCAGAAATTGCTGGAAAAGCTCTGCAGGTCTGGCAGCATCTCCGGAGAGAAATCAGAGTTAACCTTTCGGGCCCGGTGACCCTTCCTCAGAACTCCAGTTAAATTCACGCTGTCTCATTCTCATACAAGGCTCCAATGTGACAAGGGGTACATCAGGTTCCAAGTGATCGATTATGATAGAGGGATCCCTAGTCAGAGGCACATACAGATGTTTCTGTCGCTGGTAGCGAGGTATCAGAATGGTGTGTTGCCTCCCTAGTGCCAGGATTAAGGATATCTCGGAGAAGGTGCAGAATATCCTCAACGGAGAGAGGGACCAGCAGGAGGTCATTGTACACATTGGAATTAATAACAAAGGTAGAGAAAAGGACGAGATTCTGAGGAGAGAATATAGGAAGTTAGGCAGGAATTTAAAAAGTGGGTCCACGAGGGTAGTAATAGCTAGATTACTCCCCGTGCCAAGAGCTAGTGAGGGTAGGAATAGAAGAATAGAGCAGATGAATGCGTGGCTGAGGAGCTGGTGCAGGGGAGAAGGATTCACATTTTTGAATCATTGGAATCTCTTCTGGGGTAGCAGTGATTTGGAAGGGAACTAATATACTGGTGAGGAGATTTGCTAGAGCTACTCAGGAGGATTTAAACTAGTAATGGTGTGGGGTGGGACCTAGTGAGGTAGTGAGGAAAGAGATCAGTCTGAGACTATTACAGTTGGGAAAAGGAGCAAGTCAAACAGTCAGGGCAGGCAGGAACAAAGCAGAGAACGAGGTAGAACTGATAAATTAAATTACATTTATTTCAATACAAGAGGCCTAACAGGTAAAGCAGATGAATTCAGGGCATGGTTGGGAACATGGGAATGGGATTTCATAGCAATTACAGAGATGTGGCTTAGGGATGGACAGGGCTGGCAGCTTAATCTTCCAGGGTATAGATGCTATAGGAAGGATAGAGAGGGGGGAAAGAGAAGAAGTGGAGTGGTGTTTTTGGTTAGGGATAACATTACGGCTCTACTTAGGGAGGATATTTCTGGGAATGTGTC